AACATTGAGGACCTGTCTCCTGTCTGATGATCTTTGCACTTACCATTCCCTCGGTCTGGAAAGCCCTTTTTCCAGATCTTGGCTAGCTCTGTTGTCATTCAGTTCTCTGCTCCAATGTCCCTTCAAAGAGGCTCCTCTGACAATCCAACCTAGCCTGGTTCTTGGGGATTGGGGAAAGAAGAAGATGGTGATTTCTGTTTGTTGTAAATGAGGTCGTCAGGAAAGTCATGACGTATTTTTCTGCTTTTCTATGTAAAAATGTTACATGACTTTCCTGACAACCCAATAGTTATAGTACTCTGATTAAACTGTGGACATTTAGAGCTTCGCTGAGTGTTTACATTTAAACCAAATTTAAGAAGAAAAACTAAAAAACTGTATCCACATCCGTTATCACTATCATATCACGCAGGCTTGCTTTCATCAAGGCATGTATCACTATCTGAATCACCTTGTTTATTTATTATCTATGTGTATTGCACTCTTCTGGGATGTACTCTCTGTGCAGGGACCTCGTGTATTGGTTCATAACCATATGCGTAGGATTGTAATAAGGAAGATGTTCACTTGGTTCTTAGTAAATTGATTTTTTTTTTTTTTTTTGGTCAGGAAAAGATTAAGGACTATAAGATGCAATGTCTATGTACTTTAAAAAGTATTTTCTCTCAGGAACCAGCAGTTAGCGTAATGGCTATGTCACTGAACTCCCATGTAGTTGACTGCGGTTCGCATCCCGGACCTGGTGGCTTAAAACTCACGCTGGGCGCGTGTGCGTGCGTGCCCAAGATCCCGAGAGGAGAGTGGAGGAGAAGGGATTGCGGCGTGGTCATCCCCCCTGGGGGGTGATTTCTCGCTTTCTGTCTCTATGTCTCTCTCTGTCTGTCTGTTGAGCGCACGCGCCCTATAGCGAAAACCTCTCCAAAAAAAAAAAAAAGTATTTTCTCTCAAGTAAATTATTCATGGTTAAGAAAGTAATGCTATTATTTTTAATGATTTGTCTTTCTTTTGGAATTAAAGTGGTATTGGGAAAATTAATGACTTAAAAAGTTAGTGGGTTTGGATCAGCAGGTGGCGTAATGGTTATGTCGCTGGACTCCCACATAGTCAACTGTGGTTCGAGTCCTGGACCTGGTGGCTTATAACTTACACTGGGTACACGCCCACGCATGTGTGTGCATGTGTGCCCAAGATCCCAGAGGAGAATGGAGGAGAAGGGATTGTGGCGTGGCCATCCCCCTGGGGGATGATTTCTTGCTTTCTGTCTCTCTGTCTCCTGGAAGCGCGTGCACTCTATAGTAAAAATCTCTCTCAAAAAAAAAAAAAAAAGGTAGTCAGTTGGTAAATTTTGGGTAATATTTTTTGTTTTTTTGTTTTGTTTTGTTTTGCTACTGAATATAGTAGAAACAGTTATTTTAATACATGTATGAAAAAGGTACATTTCACCATAAGAAAGGAAGGTCTCCAAGAAAGATTTTGTCAAATTGCATTATTTATTTCTTTACAGAAATTATGAGCAAACTATAGCCTCTATATGTTGGCCAAATTTGCTTTAGACCTGGAAAAACCTACTTTAAATTAATTAGTTTTAAAAGAATTTTATTTTAATTAACTAATTAATTAAAAATTGACCAAAGAGGGACAGAGTGACAGTGAGAGCAAGAGAGGGAAAGTGAGAAAGCAAGCTTCCAGGTCTGGGACTCGAATCATGGTCGGCCATGTGGGAGTTCAGTGCCTTTAACTACCACACCACCTGCCAGTCCCCCCTATTTTTTACTTTATTAAAAGAAAATATTTTCATAAACTTGAAGAAATTCTGTAAATAGAGCTCTTGCTTACTAGAAAGAGTAGCAGAGAAGCCACTTTGGGGAGTGGACTCTACACTTAATGTTTTTATTTTCCTCAATGTCAAGTGTTTTAAGAAAGAAAAATAAGTATTACTTGGGCTGGGTCGGTTTCATCCTTCTTTGATAAGACCACCTGGCATGCTTTTAAATCTTTTATGTTAATCTTGAGTTTTTGCTTAATGGCAATAGAGATATAGAGAAAACTTGGTGTTGAGTTAAAAATTTTATTGGGTTGTTGGAAAAGTCATTTTGCTTAGAAAAATGCATCATGAGTTTCCCAACAACCTAATATATGCTTTGATTGGAAATTCTGTTCTTCAAAATAAACTCTTCCAGGGGAGTTCAAAATTCCAACTTTAGAAAAATACAGTGGATTTAACGAAAGGGAAAACCTCTCACATTCAAGACTTTTTTTAAGTAAAAGTTATGAGACAGCATGCCAGCTGCAGCTATTGAACAGTGACCCCTTGTTCCTGACCTTTGTTCCGGTAAGGAGATGCAAGTTGCCAGCCAATTTGCATCTGTTCTTGCCTAACTTTCTCTCCCTGTAGCCATTGTAAAACCCATTCTAACCTAAGAGCAAATCTGAATCATCAGGTAAGCGAAAGCTGATTGTCTAAGCTGGTAGATAAGAAATGTCAGATAATAAAGTGCCTTCTGTCCAAGGTTACAAGCCTGTGTTTGATCTGTGCTCACTTAATTAAAACTCACCTATAAAGCCAAAAAATATATACATAAAAGAAGCTATATTAGTATATTTTTCCCTCAACATTATATTATGAGCACTTTCAAGTATAAAGAAGAGTTGAAAGTTATACAGTGAACACCCATGTTTCTGTCATCTGGATTCTATAAAATTTTTGCTGTATTTGCTTGATAACATATCTGTCCATAACCTGTCTTAATTTGGGGGACATTTCAAAGTAAGTTGCATCATCAGTATACATCACAATAAGCATCATTGGGGAAGCCAAAAAAAAAACAAAAAAAAACAAAACTGAACTGGACATAAACTTGGCATGATTATAATTAACCTCTAAAAGGCTCGTAGTGTGAATACACCATAAATCTGAGGATTTATCACTGTTTGAAAGGTCCAACATTACTATTAATAACCTCTAAAAAGCAATGAGTATTTTGAGTTATCTTGTGATTTTTTTTTCCACATTCCTTTTGGCTATCCTAGACTTCTAACATTTACAGTCCTACCATGTTCAAGTAGCATCCATAATACTATTTTCTCTAAAATATGAATAAAACTTTATATTGCTGCCATAAGTGGAAAACAAGTATCACTTGTCATAAACAAGTTAAGCATAGCTTTTCCCCCCCTAAGCACTTAAAGAAATTCATGATTATTAAGATAATTAAGATTGGTGTTCTGACCCAGCCTCAGGAGCATAGGCAGGAAGGGTGCTGCTGGGTGATACTGGATGCCATATGGGAAGGTGCTGGGTTTGGATCTTGGATCTCCCTGAACACCTGTGGAAACACCTGTGATCCTGGCTGGATGCAGGGCTTAGGGAAGAGTGTAGGGCAAAGACCTTGTCTAGAGTGCCCTCCAACTCTCAGGAGAAAAAAAAACGATGTGTGTTCTGTGTATAGTTTATGTACAACTGGGCATGTTCACCCTACTTTGGGAAATAGTGATAGCTACCATTCTTTTCCCTTGTCCTGTAGTAAATTCTGGACTCAAGTCAAAGTTGTATTGGCAGCTGGACACACAGATAACATCAGACTGTTTTCTTTATAGGAGACAAAAGCTTGCCTGCCTATATCCTATCTGGAGCCGGTTTTACAGTCCTACCATGTTCAAGTAGCATCCATAATACTATTTTCTCTAAAATATGAATAAAACTTTATATTGCTGCCATAAGTGGAAAACAAGTATCACTTGTCATAAACAAGTTAAGCATAGCTTTTCCCCCCCTAAGCACTTAAAGAAATTCATGATTATTAAGATAATTAAGATTGGTGTTCTGACCCAGCCTCAGGAGCATAGGCAGGAAGGGTGCTGCTGGGTGATACTGGATGCCATATGGGAAGGTGCTGGGTTTGGATCTTGGATCTCCCTGAACACCTGTGGAAACACCTGTGATCCTGGCTGGATGCAGGGCTTAGGGAAGAGTGTAGGGCAAAGACCTTGTCTAGAGTGCCCTCCAACTCTCAGGAGAAAAAAAAAACGATGTGTGTTCTGTGTATAGTTATGTACAACTGGGCATGTTCACCCTACTTTGGGAAATAGTGATAGCTACCATTCTTTTCCCTTGTCCTGTAGTAAATTCTGGACTCAAGTCAAAGTTGTATTGGCAGCTGGACACACAGATAACATCAGACTGTTTTCTTTATAGGAGACAAAAGCTTGCCTGCCTATATCCTATCTGGAGCTGGTGCAGGCTCTCCTACAGCACAGTTAGGGAGGGTCTGCCTGCAGCCTGTTTGAGATTGTGTCCCAAGTGGGACCTATTCTTCATGAACCTCGTAGTCCCCACACTGGCAGAAACAGAGCCAAAGCTCGATCCTAGCAGCCTGAATTTCTGCCTTGGGAACTTCTCCGTGGCTCTGGCTGCATTTTCTTTTTCATTTTGTTTCTTCCTACACTTTTAACTCCCTCTTGCCAGCACATCTTCCCCAAACTATGCTAACCTAAGAGCGGCAGGAGGCCAACAATACACCTTTCCCTCCTAAAATTAAAACCAAGACAGAGGAGTTAGACATAGGGTGATCAAAACACCAAAATCATTACTGATGAAGGTAAGCTGGAGAATTTGGCTTGGGTCAAGCAGGCTTCCATGTACATCTGTGATCTGATCATTCCCACCGAGTCACTGGCAGAGTTCCTGGGGAAAAAAAAGGCCTTGTCTGGCCGGGGCAGAGCCTGTCCACGTTATTAAAAAAAACGTTACCAATAGGCTGACTGTGGTGAAAGAATACCGACAGCACCCAGTCAAGCTCTCTCTCAAGCCCTCAATTCCACTTAGATGAGTCATCCTTTGTTACTTGGGGAACAGTGAGTAAGGGGAGCAGAGAAAAGTTGGAAGTGATTCTCCGTACTCTTTCTTTTCAAGAAGTAAAAAAAAGTTCCCTTCCTTTTACGAAAATAGACATATAGGATGTTATCCCTTAACAGTTGTCTCCTATTGCTTCCTCCTTCAGTGACCAGCTGTCTCAAGACAAACTTTGGGACCCTTCTACAAATGGAACAGGAAATGAACATGCTGAACTGCATTTAGGCAGCTAAAAACAACACAAAGATTTCCAGGTAATTACTAGGCAATTGCTGCTATGGGGCATGCCATTCAATGTGCATAGGGGCTAAAAACTGGGTATATTCTCACCTTCCTTGACAAGTTCTTTCTTCCTTGGGCCCCCGTAGCTATGTGCCAGCTCTGGCTGCCTTAAGCCTCCAAAAGCCCAACCAGTCTTCCTATGCCCAACATCATCTGCCTCCTCTTTCTCTACTTCCACGGAAAACTCAACTTCTCTTTGGTTCTACAGTCTCACCTGGAAGGGTCAGTCTCATCATCTGATAAAAATACTAGGATTTTAACAATGAATAGGGTTTATTTGAACTTTATTATGAAGCAGGAGCTTACTAAACCCTTTATGAAACCATACCTAAGAAAATACTGGAAGAACTTATTTCCTCTTGATTAGTCCTGTTATCTGTGGGGGTCCCTTGTTGCTGCTGCTTAGGTTCAGTCGTATACAGCTCTGAAAGACTGTTGGCTTTTCAGCTCAACTTTCCATATATACTTGCATCCTCAGTTATCAAGAACAACATGTAAGCCATTATCAGTTACAGCCTTCATGCCTTTACACAGGACCCAAGTCCCAAAGGAGTTGTTGGGCTTCCAGAAACAATCTACTGGAAGTTATATGAAAGTCAGAATTATAGATGTAAAATGAAAATAAACATACATGAAGGATGTAAGCTAACCAGCTTTGAAAAAGAACAAAGTTGGAGGACCAAACCTGATGAAGCCCTGGTGAATTTATCAGCAGAGGGAATGAGACAGACAGGCAGACTGGGCTCTGCTCAAGCTCTTGCCTATCAACACGCAAGGTCTTCCATCACCCAGCCAGCAGGAAGACTCTCACCAGATGCTGCCCCTGGACCTTGTGCCTCCAAATGGTGAGTTTTGTAAGCCTTTATCTGTATAAATCACTTACTTATGAGATTATTTAGATTTCTTTTTGCTATTTTCTTCAGTGTGTTACTTTTTATGTATTGTTTTTCTTTCAATGAATTATTTGTGGACACTCGAACAAAATGAGATATTTAGAACTGGCAATAATGAATGAGTATAATGGCCTTTCAGTATACAACTAGGGGCTTGCTTGCCTCCTACACTTAGCTGTTTCTTGTCTTCCTTACTCCCACTCTAGCTGCACCAAACTTCTAGGGCTTTGCTTGAATATGGTCCTACATCTTTGCAGTGTGGCTCCCTCTTTGGGAAACTCCCTACTTTCCTTCTAGCCCAGTGGTTCTTGGGGAGCAAGATGTGAATTTTACCCAGCCTCACCCACTGGGGATATTCAGCAATGTCGGGAGATGTTTTTGTTGTCATAACTGAGGAAGTGCTATTGGCATCTAGTGGGTAGAGGCCAGGGATGATGTTAAACCCCTACAGTACAGAGGAGAGCCCTCACAACAAAGAAGCATTCCACCCAAATGTCAACAGAGCTGAGGCTGAGAAACCCTGTGTAGTCCCTCCATCCGCAGCTTACTTCACCTGCTCCCTCTTCAAGCCTTCGTTCAGTAGGTGCTTGCTCAGAAGCAGGGAGGTTAGCTAGCCTTCCTTCAATTGCTTGTTCGCCTATGTCTCCCCCTTCTGTCCAATGAGTCTTATAGTCCTGGCTTGTATTTTTCAGTCACCACAGGTCATTCGCACAAGCAGCCAACACCAAGAATCCTGGCTTCAAATGTGGGTTATCTTGGGGTGGGTGATGGCATAAATAAAACAACCTCAGTATTCCTAAGCTTTGAACACTCTTGCAAATACTTGCATATTTTTATTTATTTATTTTTTCTTAAAGAGGTTTTTGCTATAGGGCATGTGCAACTTGCCAGAAAGACAGACAGAGAGACAGAAAGCAATAAATCACCCCCCACCACCACCAGGGGGGGATAGCCACGCCGCAATCCCTTCTTCTCCATTCTCCTCTCAGGATCCTGGGCACATGGGCACACGTGCCTAGCATGAATTTAAGTCACCAGGCCAGGACTTGAACTGTGGTCGACTACATGGGAGTCTAGCAACATAGCCATTGTGCCAACTGCTGGTGCCACATATTTTTATTCTTTTTAGGGACATATGCTTGAGGAAGAGTGTTCATGTTACAAAATAAAGTGTTCAAAGTCATTAGAATAGTTCTCTAATATCTTTTATTTATTTACTTACACGACCTTTATTTAACTGTATCTAATAAATATTTTTTAAAACTGGCTTTTTTCTTTTTTATAAAAGTAGTTAGTTTAAAATATTAAAGCAATACAGGGACCAGCAGTTAGCGTAATGACTATGTTGCTGAACTCCCATGTAGCCGACCGCGGTTCAAGTCCTGGACCCAGTGGTTTAAACTCACGCCAGGTGTGTGTGCATGCATGCCCAAGATCCCGAGAGGAGAATGGAGAAGGGATTGCGGTGTGGCCATCCCCCTGGGGAGTGATTTCTCGCTTTCTATCTCTCTGTCTCTCTCTGTCTTTCTGGCGAGCGTGCGCACCCTATAGCAAAAACCTCTCAAAAAAAAAATAAATTAAAGCAATACAGAGAGCACAAGACAAAAGTAAAAAAAAATCAAATCTGTATATACAAAAAAATGGTTAGTTTACATATTGGTAAATATCCTTTCAGACATCTCAGAGGATGTAAAATATATACGTAGGTGTATATATGACATCTTGCAAAAACGGAGCTGTGTATGTACTGTTCTGTAATTTGCTTTTTAAAAATTTTTTGCTATAGGGCATGTGTGCTTGGTGGAGAGGCAGAGAGAAAGAGAGAGTAAGAGAGAAAGAGAAAGAGAAAGTAAGAGAATACCTCCCAGAGTGTATGAACATACCATAATCCCCTCTGATCTGTTCTCTTCTTGGGACTTTTGGGTATACATGCACATGCGCCTGGATGTTTTTCAAGCCATCATGTGTGGTACTTAAATGGTTGCAGTCAGCCATGTTGGGTCCAGTCACCTTAACCATCAAGCCACTGACTGGCCCTAATTTTTTTTTAACTTAACGCTATATCTTGGGTATTATTCCTGGTCAATACACGTAGATGTACATCATGATTTTATTGAATTTATGGTGTTACCTTTTATAGCAACCACAGACCCCACTCAATTTCCAGGGGAGGAGAAATAAAGTCTATCTTTTGGTGAGAGTGTGGTAAGAGCATGTGGGACAGGATATATAGCTCTGGCCATTTTTGAGAATCATTCTACCACCACAGAATCTTGTCATGGTGAAATTACAACTTTTAAGTGGCTGAGTACTCAGAATTCATGGCCCTGATCATGATCTCCATATTTCTCTTACTTTGTGTTTTTTGTGACTTTAAATGCTACTAAGATCACATTATTAATTCCTTTTAATTTCTCTAAACAAATTCTTGTGAACACTGTTCATTTTTCATAGGAGAGCTATACAATAACTATTTTTTCAAACGCGTATAGGTACTGTGTACTGCATATGGTGCTAATTCATTTTAGAGAGTCTTTGAATTGTTGGTGGCTTTCTTACCATGAAGAGGGGATGGCATTTTCAAGGAAGCAGAGGGGAGAGCGAGCATACCATGGATGGAGAACAGTGAGCAGAAGTAGAGGAGGGCAGAGCCTTAAGAGATGGGTTTGAAAAACCTGAAGTGGGTTGCACCATGGTCTAGTGGTTAAAGGAACCAGATACCACATGGGCAACTACACCATTTGAATATTGACCTGGTGGCTTGAAAAACATGCTAGGCATATGTACATGAGTGCCCCAAATCCTGACAAACTGAAGAAATGAAGGAAAAGGGATTGCTGCATGACCATACCCAGTTGGAGTTTGCTTTCTTTCTTGGTCACTCTGTCTCTGTCTGTCTCTCTCTGGCGTGTTCACACCCTTTGGCAAATTAAAAATTTTTTAAAAAGCCAGGGGGGCCATACCGTCAGAGGGCAGAACTTAGACCCAGTCTCAGAGGTAAGAAGGAGTTATTGAAAGGTGGCGAGTAGAAAAGTGATGATGATCAGATTTAATTTTTAAATCATCACTTTAGCTTTATTGTTGAGTATTCAAAAGCATGGGATTTAGAGTGATATGTAAATTCCAGTTTACCCACTTACTGTATAATTTGACATTTTCTTAATACTGTAGGGGGCCTGCAGGTGGCATGATGGTTGGGGGTGCTGGATTCCCACATGTCTGGCTGCAGTTCGAGTCCCAGACCTGGTGACTTGCTTTCTTGCTTTCCCTTTCTCTCTCTCTCTGTCTCTCTCTGGTCGAATTAAAAAATAATAGCAAATTGAATTAAATAAATAATTCTTTTAAAAAAGGAATATTATATGCTTTTTCAATCTGTAGACACAGTTATTTTTCAATTTAGGATTTTTCTTTTCCTTTTGATATCTTGGCTTTTTTATTCTCCTGGTCTTATTAATTGAGTGTAGATTTAAGTCCTAACTTAAAGTTGTGCATGCATTTCTCATGAGGTAAAAGTGTTCTCTTTTTTTTTGGTGGGGGGGGAGAGATATTTGATATAGGGTGAGTGTACTCACCAGAGAGACACTCCACAATCTCTTCTCCTCCATTCTCCTTTCAGGATCTTGGGCAAGCACACTCACATATCTGGTGTGAGTCTTAGGCTGCTGGGTCCGGGACTTGAACTGCAGTTGATTATGTGGGAGTCCAGCAACACAACCATTATGCCATCTGCTGATCCTGGGTGTTCTCTAATCTACCGAGATTTGTCAGGATAGGCCAGGCTATGAACAAATAAACTCAGAAGTCCTAGTGGTTTAATACCAGTGAAGGGTTATTCTCTGCATATGGAAAGTCCCATACAGGTTGAGAAATATTTCCCTATTTTATAAATGATGACATCCGAAACATGGCAGGGACAGATAAAGTTGGAGGACTTCATGAGATGAATGAAAGTCAGGCCAGGAGTGGTTTCTGTCCCTTCTTCTCATGTTCTATCAGCATAAATCCCGTCACAAGGCTCCAATCTAACTGCAAGGAGGCTGACAAATGTCAGATAGCACATGTGGACAATAAGCGACAGTGGATTCTGACCCCTTCCTACCCAGGTTTTCTGTCACTTTCAGTCAGTTCAAATTAAGGTGCTTATAATGAGCTGATGAGGAGTCTTTTTGTTTCAAATTCTGCCTATAGCATACATTTCTGAGACCTGTACTCCTCACTAATACTCCTTACTTCTGGAATATGCTCTCTCTTAATGTGCTACTATGGCCTGCTGGAGAAATTCAGATAAATAAAATTTCAATAGTCTCAAAAAATAAAAGATATACAATTGAGGGCTGGCCCCCTCATTGACATGGATGTGTGTGGAATAAGAGGGACATATACAATGTCTTCCTACCTTTTGAAAAGGTTTCTATCTTCATAAGGGTGTGTCTCATTTCTGCCCCTTCCTTTTTTTTTTTAGCTTTGGTCTTTAAGACCTATATAATTGTTAAGCCAAATTAATCAATACTAATACATGTAAATAGTTTATCCCATGGGGAATGTGAACAGAACATCTTGGTTAGCTGAATGTTAATTAAACACTATTAGGAATTACAATGAATAAAAATATACTACAATAAATATAAGTAAACTTCCCAAACTTGTTTAGCATCTGTTATTGTTATCTCATATATTTTTAAAATAGCACTAAGACTTCACAAATCACTTTTATATGTTTTGTCTTAATGTTTATAATTCTGTGCAGTTGGAACTATTATCCTCATTTATTAAGCAAAGAAAAGAAGAGTCAGAAAAGTTATTTATTCAACATTACAAAGCCAGAGACCAGCTGAGCTGGGACTTTACTTGGCTGTATATTGATAGCCATCAGTAATTTCTGTCCAGTTCTACAGACATGATTAATCTGTTGAATTCTACTGATTTAAGCCACCAGGTCCAGGACTTGAACT